GATTAAGGAATGAACTTTGAAATAAATTAATAATAATAAAACCAACAAAGTAAACATGATTTTCGTTTACTCGGAACATATAGAAGCCGAAATTTTGTCCGGTAACATGTATTGGTTGTAGTAAATTTTAATGGTTCTTCGATGAGATCATAAACCTAAGTGGTGATGATTAAATTCTCATACTTAGGGATTTGCAAAGAATATAAGTAACAAACATTATTTTATATCTGAGAAATTTGGTTTTTACACATTATCTTTTTACCTTCATTGTAATCATCTTTTTCAATCTATAGATAAATTATTTTTGTCATTTTTATTTTATTTAGCATAGTTTTGATTTAAAACATAAATAAGTAGTCAAAATCAATACAACTTACATAAAAAAATCAGTAAATAAATCACATAGAACAACTCTAAAAAAGTTCTTATATATCTATAGCAATCACAAGCTGCATGTACAATATAATTTTTATATCTTTCTTGCATTACCTCTCTCATGTGTTGAAAAGTTCTTATGAACAGGGAGCAGACAAAACTTATTTTATTTTCTTAACTAATTTAACCAATACAAATTTTTGAATTAATATAGTACATTGAAAAACAAACTAATAATTATAATTCTTGTTTTCGGATTCAGGATAATATTTTTTTGTATCATATTATTTATGGTAAGTTTAAATAATTTTTAATGAATATACATCGCTTCTTCTAACCAAAGTGAATAAGTTTTTCTATTTTATTTAAATTAATTCTTATTATATTTTTGATGGAATACAAAAAAGTAGTAAAGTTTTATTCTCCTTTTTTAGCTACTTTAATCAATACAAATTTTCAGTTTAGTTTACAAATGAAAATGAAAATGAAAACTAATAAGCACAAAATCTTACTCTCGTATCTAAGAAAAAAATCTGTTTTAAAACCAAGACAAAATATGATTATAGAATGAACTTTGAAAAAAATTAATAATTACAAAAACCGACAAATTAAATATGCTTTTCGTTGACCTAGAACATATAGAAACCGTAATTTTGTCCGGTGATATATATTAACGCACTTACGATCTTATATAGCGTCAATTAAGTAATTTTAACTTTTATATAACTTTGAGGCCCGTATGTGGTAGAAATCAAAGCTGAAAGATCCTGCACGATGCCTTTTGTGGTAAGTGGTTGCGGTCTCTCCTCTGTCTGATGAGGCTAACTGATTGTATTCAGATGTTGCTTGGTCAGCCAGTTGTTACTTTTGTGGTTCAGGTTAAGTTGTTAAACCCGTCAGATGTCATGTTATTCAAAGGATCTTCTTCTGATACCTCGGTCTCCTTCGCCTTAATGGCAGAATCTCTTTCTCTATTCTCAGGACTTCGTTTTTCAAATGTATCGGGTTTCAATCACTTGACATGTTTCTCGGATTGTTTGAAACTTAATTATCCTTCTTCTCAAATTCGGTGGCCAAGCTTTGGAGATTACAGTCTCTTTCTAGACACTAAAGTAGTTTGTAGTGGCTTTGTCTATATTTGATATCATCATATTCTTTCTTTAGCTAATAGTTTAACGGATAGATTAGCCAATGTGGCTCTTTTACGTTGTAATGACTCCTTCTTTAGTGAAAACTAACACATTTCTTTTGTTTTTTTTTAATTGAAATAGTTGCACACACAAAAAAAATAAATAACTTCAACGTTTTTATAGTTATGTGACTAAATTTGGATGCTAATGTAAAAGTCTCTAAATATGTGTGCATACATATATGAAGAATTTTACTATTTTATTGTTCCTAGTTATATATAACTAAAACTCTAATTAAATTTAAATTTTACTTTAATATTCTTTTAGTTTTTTATTATCTTATATTACTAATTGACAAAGACACTTTAAAAATAACATTTGTCTCATGTGTTATTAACAAGTTTGTCATGCTGAGGTGTCATCTCCACAAAGCTTCTCAAAGGTTTTTTGAAAAAAAAAGTTTGTTACTAGAATAATTACAATCAAAACCACTCATATTAATTTGGTTAGAGAATCAAATATATCTTATTAAACTAATTATTAAAAGTAATTGTTCAAAAAAATACCTTTCTTTTCTTAATTAGACACACAAAATTAGTAAATAATTTTAAAACATATTTATTAGCCAATAAAATAAAATAAAAGGATTTGAGATTATATCATATTAACTATTTTCTTATATTCATTTTTTTAATTATATAATATGAATTATTTTTAAATCATTATATTTCTTTTATTTTCTTTGTTTACTTTTATTTTCTGAATTAATTATCACATCAAACATATAATAAATTTATATTTTATGCATATGCGATAATTTATATTTAAAAAAAAAATCACTAAACTTTTTTATTTGATAAGATATATCAATATTTCAGTTAAACTATTAACTATACAATTACATTCATATTAAAAAGATAAAAATCAATAATAAAATTTTATAACCATATTATATATTTGTAATTGTCATACTAATACAAAATCATATTATTACTCATCATAATACTATTCACATACATATAAAATCAATAATTTATTTTTATTTTAAATAAATTAAATCATGTTTAGTAAAATATTTTATAGATACTTCACGCGACACATGACACAAAAACTATTTGTTCATGACTGAAAAATATTTAACTAAAACTATACATTCCATATTTCTATCGATTATTTTCTGATTTTTATACTTTTAGAAAATCATTGTAGTTTAACCATTAAAAAAATACCAAGTTCTTGTTGGTCTAACAATCGAGAGTGTTGTAATGGACTCAAAAATTAGTTATTTGTTTCATTTTGTTTTATCATTCCTATAATTTATGCTAAAAGAGGGTGGAGAGGTTATCGGGAGTTGGATTTATAAAGCTTTTGATTAATTTTAAAAGTCATGAGATTACTCAAATCTTCAAGATTTTTGTTGGATTTGTAAAATTTGCAGAGAGTTTTGTGAATTTAAACAATTTACAAAATATTTTACTATGACAGATTTTGAGAATCCAAAAGATATAAGTAGTATTTTGAAAGTCATGATTTATGAGTTAAATTGTAAAAAATCTTTATCCCAATATTAATAGATTTTAATTGAGTTATGAATTTTTTAAATACAAACTTTTTGAATAACAATGAATTTTTATTAGATTATAAAAAGTAGCAAACCAATAACAATGGATTTTTAAAGTTATCCTTTTAAATTTAGACCAATAAAATTATCTTTTTAAATTACATGGGGATACCATGAAAAGCATTTATTTTCAACTTTGATTAGTAGAGTTTAAGAAGATAATTAATAGTATGAAAGAAAACAAAAAAAAAAAGAAAGAAAGAAAAACAACTAGCATAGCGGCGATATAAAAAAATGGTGATTGTCCAGGCGATTTTACAGTTATTCTTACAAGTTTTACAACGGTTTTGATGAGACCATCGAGCCATCACCAGACCCAAAGGTCGTTCCCGAGCTCAAAGAAGCACCAATGACCCGTTCCAAGGCAAGGAGGCTTAGAGAAGGGTTCAACTTGGCCGTGGAATCATTACTAAGTACCATGGAACTTGAAGATGCATTCAAAACCGAGCCTCAAGAACAATACACGCGAGACAGCCCCAAAGGACCCGACTTAGATATAATGGAGGGTTTCGCGCGTCTGAGCCTCAAAGAGAACCAGCCTCAACTAGAAACAGGTATACATGTTTACTTGGCAGGAAATGGAGCACAGAACACCAAGAATCTCGAAGAGGCTGCATTGGACCCTCAAGATACAACCGTTTCAAGACTCGGAGCCGCTAGCGAGCCAACGAGACCCAAGGAGGAACATGAAGTGGGACGCATGAAAATACATGAAGAACTCGCAGGACACGACGTAGACAGGACCTTAGATGAACTAAACATCAAGACTAACGAAGGAAATCTCAAGGCTAACGAGCGAATCAACGAGATAACAAGCAAGCCCACAGCCGGCCGCAACCAGGTATTTTCCATTTATACGATTTGTGCAGGTAACATGGGAGTATCCTAGTGGTGTCTAACACCCTAGATGGCATCAGAGGTGCACGGAACAAGTCCAGAAAAGGTTGCACACGATTAGTTTCTTTTTCTTTTTTATTTTTAAGTGAACTTTCTATTTTTGTGTCCAAATGAGACGCTTTGCCATTTTGCTTTATTTCTTTTTACAAGTCCTGTTGTTTTGAGTCCTTAGTGTCGTTTTTTATTCATTGAGTCGAACCCTAGAAGGTTCAAAGCTGACGGACTATTTATAAAGTCCCACATGCAGCTCTTGTACTTCAACCTTTTTCCCGATATCAATAAAATAACGCCGTTTTCTTAGCTTGTGCCTAAGAGCTTTATTGCTTGTTCTTGCGTAAGAGATTCACCAAGAGTTGAGCCGCAGTAACAGAGATCCGTTCATTGTCTCTGTGGTGCCTTCGATCCACTTCGACATCCCTAACCGATCCCTCAAGAGAGAGCGTTAAAGCCAGCTTGACAGATCCCATCTCGATTCAAGTCTTGTGGAAGCAAGCCTTGTCTTACCATCTCCATCCACCGAACTACACGAGAGAGCGTCATAGCCAGCGTGTTGTTCCCACCAAGCCATCGATTCCGCAATCATATAAGCCTCACCCGAGTCTTATATCATTTTGGTATCAGAGCCAAAGGTTCCTGCCTTTGGTTTTTCTATCCCTTACACTTTTTCATTTTTATTCATACTCGTTTAGCTTATTTTGATTCATAAAACCAAAAACCCTAGATAAAAGTTTAATTGCTTGTTTTCATTTTCATTAGTCAAAAAAAAAAAGGGAATCCGTTGCATTGCTAGATTTTTAGACCGTTAATCCTTGTTCTTTGCGTACTAAAATTTGAAAACCATATAAAAAGTTATTTAGTTTCATTTAAGTAGCGAGTCAAATAGTCTAGCGTTTTGATACCCTTATTATTCGGTGGTACTTTTGACTAGTTGTTGTCTTTGTTGAGTACAAGGACACCAAGTGAGGCTAACTAGTATCATGGCCGAAGGAGAACCTGTTCCAAACGATGCTCTTGTCCAAATGATGACCGCAATGAGGGAGGAGTTGAGGAACATGACTCAACAAATGGGAAACATTCGGCAAGAACTTGGAGCCAGAATAGATCGAGTTGAGGCACAACCAAGGAGAGCCCCAGTTCGAGGAGCACAAGTGCAAGCCGGTGACGCGAGTGATGATGAAGAGATGCCCGAACTAGAGGATGAATTTCCACCTGATCCTCTTCAGCATCGACAGCAGAGGAGGCCGGATCCTCTAAGGAGAAATCCAGCTAGGGTAGTGGATACCCGAGAGCAAACTCATGATCTCAAGCTAACACCTCCTACTTTTTCAGGACAGTCGGACCCCGAGGCATACTTGGATTGGGAGAGGCGGCTAGAGCACATCTTTGAGTGCTATGGCTACGCTGAACGCAAGAAGGTGGCTGTTGCGGCTGCACAACTCACTGACAATGCCTTAGCATGGTGGGACAGAAATGTAGCCGAGAGAAGGAGGCAGCGCTTTGGACCAGTCGTCACTTGGAGCGACATGAAATTCCTCCTACGACTTAGGTATGTACCTGAACACTATCATAGAGACTTACAAAAGCGTTTTCGCAAATTGTCTCTGGGAAACAGAAGCGTAGATGAATATTTTGAGGAGTTTGAGAAGCTGATGAACTCGTTGGAGTTAGAAGAATCGGAGGAAGCCTTGATGGCTCAGTTCATCGACGGTCTACAAGAGAGAATAGCCAGAAAGGTGGAAAGAGCTCAATATAGTGGGTTACACGAGCTATTGCATCTTGCCGTTCAAGTGGAGCAGCAAATCAAGCGTAAGACCGCTCTTACTAGCCGTAACCGCACGAGCCAACCATGGAACGCCAGCAGTTCTAAGCTGGTAGACAAAGGCAAAGCTGTGGAGATTGAATCAAGATTCAAGGGCAAAGGCACCGAGTCTCCCAAATTCAACCGAGCCGAACAAGGTAAGCCCTCTAATCCCACATCAAGAACTCGTGATATAACTTGTTTTAGATGTCAAGGCAGGGGTCACATGTCAAGGGAGTGTCCAAATCAGCGAGTCATGATCATTACCCCTTGTGGTGACTATGAATCGCAAGATGAACAAGAAGATGAATCTAACGACTTGGAGGAGGAGGTTGAATATCCCGACACTGGTGAACTCTTAGTGACTCGCCGAGTGCTAAGCGTCCTAGTTCACCCTGAGGAGACAGCCCAAAGAGAGAACATATTTCATACTAGATGCACCGTCAAGAACAAGGTATGTAACCTTATCATAGATGGTGGTTCATGTACTAACGTGGCTAGCAAGTATATGGTGGACAGGTTAGGTCTTGAGAAGACAAAGCATCCTTGTCCCTATAAGTTAAGGTGGTTAAACGACCAGACCGAGCTCAAGATCTCCGAGCAAGTGTCCATACCGTTTAGTATTGGCAAATACCATGATCAAGTCACTTGTGATGTGGTGCCCATGCAAGCCGGACATCTATTACTCGGTAGACCGTGGCAATTCGACCGAGCCACGACCCACAATGGCCGCACCAACCATTACTTTTTCATGTACAAGGAGCGTAAGTACAATCTTGCGCCTCTAAGCCCCACCGAGGTACATGAGATGTAAGTGCACATGAACAAAGAATCCGCGCTAAGTAAAAGCAGTCTTTATTTATCATCTACTGATGTTTACAAAACCATGAGTGCCAATGGCACCGTGCTACTGATGATGTTTAAAGAATGTCTAAGCGCAGGTTTAGGTGACTCTGAGATACCACTTGAAGTGCAAGCTATTCTGAACAAGTTCAAGGATGTATTTCCCGAAGAGATACCACCAGGATTGCCACCACTTCGTGGAATAGAGCACCAAATCGACTTAGTTCCCGGTTCAGCTTTGCCCAACAAGCCAGCTTATAGAATGAACCCCGAGGAGACTAAGGAGCTAGAGAGACAAGTACGCGACCTAATGGACAAGGGTTATATCCGTGAGAGTCTCAGTCCTTGTACTGTGCCGGTTCTCTTAGTACCCAAGAAAGATGGTACATGGAGAATGTGTGTGGACTGCCGTGCCATCAACAACATCACCATCAAGTATAGGCACCCCATTCCACGCCTAGATGACATGTTGGACGAGCTAAGCGGATCCACAATCTTCTCAAAGGTGGACTTAAAGAGTGGATACCACCAGGTTCGAATGCGTGAAGGAGACGAGTGGAAAACCGCATTTAAGACCAAACAAGGCTTGTATGAGTGGTTAGTTATGCCTTTTGGCTTGACTAATGCACCAAGCACCTTTATGCGCCTTATGAACCAGGTTCTTCGAGCTTATATAAGTAAATTCGTAGTTGTTTATTTCGATGATATACTTATATATAGTAAGAACCTTAATGAACATCTTCAACACCTCGAACTAGTGCTTAAAACACTTCGCAAGGAAGGCCTATATGCTAACCTTAAGAAGTGCACATTTTGTACTAACAAGCTTGTTTTCTTAGGCTTTGTAGTAAGTGAACAGGGATTACAAGTAGACGAGGAGAAGATCAAGGCAATACGCGAGTGGCCTACACCAACTACAATCGGTCATGTTAGGAGCTTTCATGGCCTGGCCAGCTTCTACAGGCGTTTTGTACGAGATTTTAGCACGGTGGCTGCCCCACTCGCCGCGGTGATCAAGAAGAACGTGCCATTCTCATGGGGGCCAGCCCAAGATGCAGCTTTTGAAGCCATGAAGAGCCGATTAACACAAGCACCTGTCTTAGCCCTACCAGACTTTGACGAGATGTTTGAGGTGGAGTGTGATGCTTCAGGGGTGGGAATTGGAGCTGTACTACACCAAAGAAAGAGACCAGTGGCATTCTTCAGTGAAAAACTCAGTGGAGCCACACTAAATTATCCCACCTACGACAAGGAGTTATATGCCTTAGTCCGAGCATTGGAGACCTGGCAGCATTACTTGTTGTCCAAGGAATTCATCATTCATACTGATCACGAGACCTTAAAGCACTTAAGAGGACAAACCGCACTTAAGAGACGCCATGCTAAATGGTTGGAGTTTATAGAGACTTTTCCTTATGTGATCAAGTACAAGAAGGGACAAGAGAATGTGGTGGCCGATGCACTTTCAAGAAGGCATACATTGATATCTACTATGGAGGCCAAGGTACTCGGCTTTGAGCATATCAAGGAGCTATACAAAGATGATCCCGAGTTCGGAGAAGCTTATCAAGGACATGGCAAGGGAGCTTATACCTCGTATCATTTACACGATGGGTTTTTTTCCCAGACAAGAGGCTATGCGTTCCTCAAGGGTCTTTGAGGGAGCTGTTGCTGAAAGAAGCACACGGTGGAGGCCTCATGGGTCACTTTGGAGTAGAAAAGACATTGGCTGTAATCGCAGAACATTTCTTTTGGCCGCATCTCAAGAAAAACGTGGAGAGGTATTGCTCACGCTGTGTTACATGCCATAAGGCCAAGTCCATGTTACATCCTCATGGTCTATATTTACCTTTACCTATCCCTAACGCACCATGGGTGGATATCTCTATGGATTTTGTACTAGGCTTACCCAAGATCAGGCACAAAGACTCGATCTTTGTTGTTGTTGATCGCTTTTCAAAAATGGCGCACTTCATACCCTGTGACAAGACTAATGATGCCACACAAACCGCGGACTTGTTCTTTAAAGAGGTGGTGAGATTACATGGAGTGCCAAGAACGATTGTCTCTAACCGAGACTCTAAGTTCTTAAGCCACTTTTGGAGGACCCTTTGGAGAAAGCTTGGCACCAAGCTTCTATTCTCTACAACTTGTCATCCTCAAACGGATGGGCAAACCGAAGTGGTAAACCGTACACTATCTACTTTACTTAGGGTCACTCTTGGTCGAAATTTGAAAACATGGTTAGATTGTTTGCCTTTCATTGAATTTGCTTATAATCATGCTACTCACTCGGCTACTAAGATGTCTCCTTTTGAAGTTGTGTATGGATTTAATCCACTGACGCCTTTAGATCTCTCTCCAATACCCCAAGCTGAGCAAGTTAATCTAGACGACCTCAAGAAAGGGGAATTTGTGAAGAAGATACATGAGAAGGCCCGAGATAATATAGTGAAGAAAACGGAGGAATACAAAAGGAGAGCTGATAAAGGACGCAAGAAACTTGTATTCGAACCAGGAGAGTGGGTCTGGTTACATATGCGACCAGAAAGGTTCCCACAGCAAAGGAGTTCCAAGCTTCCCCCTCGCGGAGACGGACCCTTCAAAGTGTTGGAAAAGATCAATGATAACGCCTACCGACTAGAACTTCCAGGTGAGCTAAACATTTCACATAGTTTTAATGTTGCTGATTTGTCTCGTTATGATGCAGGTGAAACAGTTTTGAGGACAAAACCTCTTGAAGAGGGAGGGAATGATGAGGCCATCGAGCCATCACCAGACCCAAAGGTCGTTCCTGAGCTCAAAGAAGCACCAATGACCCGTTCTAAGGCAAGGAGGCTTAGAGAAGGGTTCAACTTGGCCGTGGAATCATTACTAAGTACCATGGAACTTGGAGATGCATTCAAAACCGAGCCTCAAGAACAATACACGCGAGACAGCCCCAAAGGACCCGACTTAGACATAATGGAGGGTTTCACGCGTCTGAGCCTCAAAGAGAACCAGCCTCAACTAGAAACAGGTATATATGTTTACTTGGCAGGAAATGGAGCACAGAACACCAAGAATCTCGAAGAGGCTGCATTGGACCCTCAAGATACAACCGTTTCAAGACTCGGAGCCGCTAGCGAGCCAACGAGACCCAAGGAGGAACATGAAGTGGGACGCATGAAAATACATGAAGAACTCGCAGGACACGACGTAGACAGGACCTTAGATGAACTAAACATCAAGACTAACGAAGGAAATCTCAAGGCTAACGAGCGAATCAACGAGATAACAAGCAAGCCCACAGCCGGCCGCAACCAGGTATTTTCCATTTATACGATTTGTGCAGGTAACATGGGAGTATCCTAGTGGTGTCTAACACCCTAGATGGCATCAGAGGTGCACGGAACAAGTCCAGAAAAGGTTGCACACGATTAGTTTTTTTTCCTTTTTTATTTTTAAGTGAACTTTCCATTTTTGTGTCCAAATGAGACGCTTTGCCATTTTGCTTTATTTCTTTTTACAAGTCCTGTTGTTTTGAGTCCTTAGTGTCGTTTTTTATTCATTGAGTCGAACCCTAGAAGGTTCAAAGCTGACGGACTATTTATAAAGTCCCACATGCAGCTCTTGTACTTCAACTTTTTCCCGATATCAATAAAATAACGCCGTTTTCTTAGCTTGTGCCTAAGAGCTTTATTGCTTGTTCTTGCGTGAGAGATTCACCAAGAGTTGAGCCGCAGTAACAGAGATCCGTTCATTGTCTCTGTGGTGCCTTCGATCCACTTCGAAATCCCTAACCGATCCCTCAAGAGAGAGCGTTAAAGCCAGCTTGACAGATCCCATCTCGATTCAAGTCTTGTGGAAGCAAGCCTTGTCTTACCATCTCCATCCACCGAACTACACGAGAGAGCGTCATAGCCAGCGTGTTGTTCCCACCAAGCCATCGATTCCGCAATCATATAAGCCTCACCCGAGTCTTATATCAGGTTTTTAAACCGATTCTTTCTCGCCTCACCGGCGACGGTTTATTGCCCCACTGAGATCGGACACCATGATGCCTCTATCTATGTGGGTGTGGCTATTCCCTCTCTCGATCTCACGATTGAGAGTGATGCACGTTCTCTATCAAATGTGATAAAGCCTCTACAGTATAAAAGAAAGACTCTACAACGATGGTTATCACAATCCAACTCCAAATATCCATCAAATCTTTCCTTCCCTTTACGTTTCTTCGCAGTTCTTGTGAAAATGGCAGACAATTTAAGAAGATCAGTGCAAGATCTCAACCTCGGTGCAGATGATGAACCTTTTTCCTATTGATGTTGTTAATCAAGCGGTTAATGAAATTCAGTTTGTCATCATGGGCCGACCCACCATCCCTCGCAGACAGAACCTACGATCCATCATTGCCAACCTCCCTCGCATGTGGGGCCTTGAAGGCCTTGTCTTCGGAAGAATTGGAGACGACCACCGTTTCCAATTCATTTTTTCGACCGAGGAAACTCTGGAAAACGTCTTACGGCGAGGACCCTGGGTCTTTGCTGATCGGATGCTTGTGATGCAGAGATGGGCTCCATTGATGGATATCAGAATGCTTGATTTTATCCCTTTTTGGATACAAATCAGAGGTATTCCTCTACAGTACGCGAATCAAGACGTCATTGCACACATTGGTCGTGCTTTTGGAATGATCATGGAGGTTGACTACAACCCGGAGGCCATAGCCAGACTTGAATACGCTCGTGTCAGAGTTAACTGGGTCATCACTCAACCATTACGCTTCCAGCGTAACTTTCAATTCTCACCCAGAGTTAACACCCTGTTGCGGTTCAGATATGAACGTCTACAAGGTTTCTGAAAGTTTGTGGAATCGTAACTCATGATTCAGGAACCTGTTTGGTTCAGAATGGAGGACCCATTCACATCTCTGATGACGAAGACGATGCTGATGAGGACCCTGCAGAAGGAAGACCACACAACCAAGGA